GTCGTAGCTGTGCTCGTAGCCGCGCTCGTACCCGTGACCCCTCCACTCCTCCTCTGGCTCGGCGTACCCCCGGCTCCGCCAGTCCTCCTCCGGCTCCTCGTGGTAACCCTGACCCCACTCTGTGACGTCGTAACCCCTCTCCTCCTCCTCGTGCGCCTCCTCGTACCTGTCAAGGAAAGAAAATTTCAGGACATGCAGTACAAAAAATACATACTTTTGAGTGTAATATTTAACGAGCACTTCTACTCGAGTATTCCTACGGATACTGGGCATTTTCGGAAATAAATAAAGTGAGCGAGGTGAGAAGAGGAGAGGAGAGTTCGTCGTACTGTCTTTTCCTGCGGCTGTGAGGTTTCTGGCCGTCGGCCGCTTTGTTGAGACGCAGACTGTCATAAGGGTAGGCCACGATTGTTTCCCCGCCCTGGAAGTTGGCGCCCAGCACAAATGGGTGGCTTTCCATCCAGGAGATTATGGCCCTGGTCTCCACGGCAATCTGGAAGGAGACGGCGTTTAAGGACAGACGGCTTCTCCCTGACGACCCGTTAGCCTCCTACAATCGCTAAAATTAAAGGCTTTCGTCGCCGGCGTCCATGATTAGCGAGGGAACGCTCGCTTCTCCCTGAACCCCCCTCCCCCCGGCCCCCCATCCATCCCTCTCTTACCGAGTTGTTGAATTCAGAGTTTTCCGGAATGGGCACATGGTGGTTGGGGGTGAGTTTGGGAACCATGCCCTTGTCTTCGGCGTCCCACAGGACGCTGTTCAGATCGGGGAAGTTCTGGAAGATGTCGAAGCCGTCGTTGTTGAAGTGTCCGGTCGTCCAACTGCTCAGCTCCGACCCCTGGAAAATCCAGAAATGTGCGAGGGAAGGAAGACGTTAGTTTTTGTGCCGCGACCCTCCGTGAGGAAACGTTATCGTTATCGTCACTGACGGCTTCGAACGCTTCCTCGTGTCCGTCAGGGTTGAGCGACGGCACCAGGTGGATGCGTATCCCCTCCACCAGCCGCTGGACTCTGGGGTTCCGGTCTTTGTACTCTTTGCACAGATACTGCATCAGCAGCAGGAGCAACTCTCGACCCGTCGCCTCGTTTCCGTGGAGACCCGCCGTGAATCGGAACTCTGGCTC